GAGCATGCAGACAGATTCAATCTAAATTGTTTTTATTCTATGTTCCAGGAAGCATAACAAGAATAAAGCTTAATTTGTGAAGAGGAGATTGATTCAGATTTTTCATTTTCCATTAACTAAGAAGGACAAAAAACCTCTGCAGTTCTCCCCAATGTCCTAGTCCAGGGATCGGCAACGCGCCGCTCTTTAGCGCCCCCCCTTACGGCTCTCTGGAGCTTTTCAAAAAAGTTTGTTTTAACATGGTGTGCAGGAGGTCCAACTAAAATGAATTATGTTTTCCAATGCTGTAAACATTTGTATAATAAATAAATTTAAACTAAAATTCCTGCAGAGTCACTACCAGAGGACTTCATACTTGATGCCGAGCTCACAAAGTGTCTTTATTTCTAATATTTAAACAAAATCCAAGGTTAACCAAATAATTTAAACTTTCTGGTCAACATTTTAGTAAGTGGTTAGTGCAAATGTTTCAAATAAAACATGTTTAATAAAAAAAAAATAATAATAATTTAAACAATAATTTGCATCATAGCCAATAAGATCAGAGGTAATAACTTGCAACCAGCGTGGCGCCATGCCAGGCAAACAAAGCGGTGGATGTGACTTGGACCATGGAGCCCAAAGGGGAAAAAAAGAAGACAGCTGATGAGAAAAGAGGATTCAAAGAATGGATTCCTTTATCCTGTTTCTATAATTTCATCAATGCAACAAAACCTAAACCGCTTGGTGAGAGCGTTCACTGCTCCTCCATCACCTCATGCTACCATGTGACATTTGCTCCAGGATAAACATTTCATCATGAATGATTGCTATATATTTAAGACCACAAAGTCCTTTCTATAGTGGGATAATATACTAAGAGCCAGCGTATATAAGACTTTTACATTTTTGCGGTTCCAGACAGATTTATTTTTTGTTTTTTTTGGTCCAAAAAAAACTGCTCTTTGAGCAGTTTGGGTTGCTGACCCGTGTCCTAGTCCATGTAAAGGGCATAGTCACATGTGCAGCATTATAGGAAAAGTCTCTGCAAGCCTGCAGTTTTTCACATTATTTCCTTTTTTTCTAAATATTGGGCTAATTTACACTTTATACATACTACAAGAAAATTATAGAAACTTTGAACGATTAGATAAACGTTTATCTAGAGGATTTTTTAACATTTTTCTGATAAATCAAATGTTTTAAAAATAAATTAATAATAACTTTAGTTATTAACTAAAGCCCGTTTAATGTGACTTCATCAATAGGAGTTTATAAAGTCCTGCATGATCCAGGAACTTTAAAGCTGCTGCTGGTCCCAGTGTTTGCTTTCCAGTCCAAACCAGTACAACCAGTGTTGACATGATGGAGGCCCTACAGTGAGGGAAAAACAACACTGCTGACATGGAACAAACGGGATGTTTAAGGAGAAAACTCTATAAAAATAACACCGGGAAGAAAATAGATTATATAGGAAACTATAACAGGGTGGTCTGTGGTTCTGATCTGTCCAGAACTTAAACGGTATTCTGCTGAGGTTCTGGAACCGATCAGTGGTGTGATGATGGGGAGGTGAGCAGCAGCTAGCCTGGGTTAGCCTCCTGTCAGATGGAGAGCAGCTTTGACTCCATCAGGCTAATGTAAACATCACAGTTCATCAGGCTAGCAGCTAGCACGCTAGCAGCTAGCCCCATTGACTGTAACGGACAGACAAACTCCAGCTCATGATCTGGTTCAGGCTGGTTTAAACCGAATGTTTTGGACCGAGTCTGAACCACCGCACGTTTCTACACCCAATCCGAATCAGATGACATGATAATAATCCAGAGGAGGTACCTGTGCCCAGAATGACGATGTCAAAATCAGACGGCAGCTCCTCGGCAGCCATGTTGGCAGCAGGAACTGAGTCACGTGATCGCATAACCGTTTTTTTCTTCTTCTGGATTTCTGATCCAACATGTTCAGCAATAATATAGAAATATTAAGATATGTTTTTAAGACAGAAAACTAGATTGTAAAGATTCTAGGTCTGCCATTTTTCTGTTGATTTATTTTCACCTTTCAGATTAGAAAGGTCATCTCGGAACTGTAGGATAAAGTTCTCCCTCAAGATTCTCCCTCATCAGTCCAGTTCCCTGATCAGTCCAGTTACCTGTTCACTTATCAGTCCAGTTCCCTCATCAGTCCAGTTCCCTGTTCACTTATCAGTCCAGTTCCCTCATCAGTCCAGTTACCTGTTCACTTATCAGTCCAGTTCCC